AATGAATTTTCTTGCCTACCCCTTTTCCAACTGCAGATTCATGAGCAAAATGAATAATAGTTGTTCTAAGTCTCTTCTAGTGGGATTCATTTGCAGCAATATACAATATAGTGTTAAGGTCCTACAAACTTCTCAAAACTCAACTCGTGTCCCTCTTCTCCACACAATCCATCCTCACAATCCATGCCTCAGCTCTTTCTGCTTGCCCTATCTCACAACAAGCTCTTTATCACCCAAGCCACCTTTTTACCTGGTTGGTGGCAACAACTCCTTCAGATCTAAGCATAAATATTCTGTCTTCCTAGCTATCTATTTACCTAAAGTATTAACCTCTTCTTTTTATGCAAATACACATAATCTACCACTCTTATACTTCTCTTTTCTTTCATAATACTTGCAATTACAGATGATTTGGTTAATTAAATTAATTTGATTTGATTAATTTCTGCTTCTTCTATTAGATGATAGGCTCTACAATGAAAGGAATTGGTCAGCTTTTTGCATCACTATGTATTACCTGACCAAGTATACAGAGTACAGTACAGACTTTGTAAACATCCCAGAATAAATGTGGCCTTTTAAGTAGACACGACCTCTATGCTTTCCTTGTTTAGACCAAAGTTTATCAATCTTAGCACTGCTGACATTTTAGATCAACTGGTTCTTTGTTGTAGGAGACTGGTATGTTACTTTTGCAGCAACCTTGGCCTCTACTCCCTAGATGTCAGTAACACCATCAGCACCTACCAAGCTGTGAAAAACAAAAAACTGTCTGCAGACACCAGTAACTATATTCTGGTGAATAAAATCTGTAGTTGAGAACTGCTACTTACATGCACCCAAATTTAAAGTATAAGAATAATAATGATGAAGCAACTCAGGAATATAAGTGTGGTTAAACTTAAAACCAATCTCAACATATCCTTCTCCTAACTTCCTTCAAAAGTTACTTCAACTATAGAAGAGTGATTTTTAAAACCCTGAGTTTTGTTTTAACCATTTCTGCAATTAAAAATTACCACACTAACTCCTTCAAAAAGAGTTCTGAAGACAACAGAAAATTACTCAACCTAAAAATGAAATTACATCATTGACAGGGAAGGGATAGATCCAGAAACCATTATATTAGGTAAAGTAAACCAGGCTCCGAAGGACAAAGGACATGTTTTCTCTCATATATGAATGTTAAGCCTAAAATGTATGTGTAATCACACACAGGATCAAGTATGCATGTATGTGTGTGTTGATCAGTATGACTAAGGTATGGTAAGTGCATTTTGTGTGAGACACCATGACAAAACCCCTTTAAACAATCAACACACACACACACACACACAAAAGAATATTAGGAAGTTGAAATATTTCTTGTCTGGGTGTATGCATTAGTGGGAAGGGAAGATAACCGGGAAGGTAAATGGAAGGTGATTGTAGACAAAATACTTTATAAACATGTGAAAATGGAACAATCCACTTGATGAGACTGCTTTGCAAAGTAAGAGAGTACTAGAGGAGAGATTATGAACCAGAAGCATTGTATACATAAATGGACTAGTTCAAATTAATCCCATATATACAACTAATTGATGGCAATAAAAAATAAGCATAAGAAAAAATAGTTTGTGATGATACTGACACCTCAATATTTGCTGATGACAACAAATAGCACTGTTTGTTGTTCTGAAGTTTGCTAATCCAATGATCAAAGAACCTTGACAATGAAAGTGATTTAACAATGGCCAAAACATGTAAACACTGTCTAATAGGAAAGTTATTCCAGTATAATTTAGTCTAATAATTGAAATCATACTTCTTTCTTAAACAAGAACCTCACTGCCACTTGTCAAAAAGATTGGGCATTGTTTTATCTGGTGCAAGCTAAATGAAAACAGCTGTACCAATGAACAAGACTCTACTGCCTGCATTCTTCTTCCTAAGAAAGTCAGGATTGAAGCTGCAATTTGAGTAGACTTTAAAGGTTTAAAAAAGTAAAATCAGCAGATGTTAGTGGACAGGCTATAATCTTCTTTGGACTAAACATGGCTAAGAACCCTACTTTTTCAAATTGTACCTAAATACAGTAACACAGATCTGAAAATCCCACTCAACAAACCTCATTTACTCCATTAGCTACTATTTTTAAAAAGTGGAGGGATAAAGAGTGAACACATGCAGCAATGATACTCACTAGAGACTATGTTGAAAATGAACTATACAACTGTGGTGAAGGAGGGCTGGGGGGAAAAATCTGAGAGAAAATGAAGGAAGAGGTGATACTGTTCAAAAAGAAATATACTTATTACCTGAGTTATGTAAACTATAGCCCTTCCATACATCACCTTTACAATAAAAATAAATATAAAAAATCCAGTTTCTTCTCTTGCACATTGTAATGTCATTTTTGTACATAACAGTACAAAGTAACATTGCTTGTAGTATAACAAAACACAATTTAATATCCCATAACTAATAACATGCTCATAGACTTGATCTTTGATAAGAGATTCCACAATAAGCTTAAGCCAATGGATCTTAAGTCCAAAAGACATCAGTGTGGACCAAATGAGGAATAGAGTAAGCCTCAAAACATCTTACAGCAAAGCTTATAAAATAATCAGGTTTGTCTCTCTTTCACCCAAAGTGAACAGGTGACCTCTTGGGACACCGGAAGTCAGTATAACAACGTAGGTACCAATAGTTTAAGATTGAAACTTCAATGAACTAGTGTTTTCCACTTGGGAATTTCTGACTTTCAGAATTCTTCCAACTCCTCCTGATAGTGTTTCAATGGAGCTGACCTTCCGGGCAAGCAGTAGGAGCCATATCTTTAATCTCACATATTCTGGAAAGGTGGTTAACTGTTATTGCCTTTCTTCTTGCTGCTGCTTGTTTTAATTAACAGCATTTCTTTCCCCTATTTCTCCTGGGGCTTTGAAGAGCTCTTTGAAATGTATTTAGTATATTTCAGTCTGGGCTTGGCTAGTCTCTCAATTTATGAGGTCATTTAATTCAAGTTCAATTATTCAGCACAAATTGGCAGAATGAAATGCTAAAAGAAGATTGGCAGTTTCAATCACATAAATCTCCTGTTACATAAAGTGAGCAAATTCCTCTATTGTTCTTATTGACCTCTGAGATAACAATTTACTGCTGGCACAAACCAGTGTGGGCAGGCTTCTCTTTAGCAGCTTAGCAGGCTCCTCCAGGAGCAAGGTTTGGCAGCTTCACCTCACCAGAAACTTAAGATAAGCGGAGTATCTGACCAGTGATCAGGACCATCTGGGGGATGACTTAGATGGAATAAGCCCCATACTCCAATTTCAGAGACACAACAAAGAGCACATTGTTCTTCCTTGAAAAGGCACACAATGCTGAGAAGCAACTAGTCTCACATTCCCTTAGATTCAGTTAGGGAGAGCAAAGGCTCCTCGCTTTACCCAAGTATGGGGGAGGGGGAGGTGTGCTGCCAGCAGATGCCACTGCACAGAGAACATGGATCCCTGTATCTCTTCTCTGGTGGGTGGCTAGTGACTTTAGCTGTTACTCCACAACACTCAGGATTTCATGGGCACCTATAGATAAGCGAACTACTGATGTACCTAATTATATCGCTTAAAGCCAATTCCATTTTAAAACTCCAAAACTCCTATACAATACTCCAATACAATCAAAATTTGTACAAAAACAAAACAAATCTGTCCACTTTTACTATACTGTCCTCAGGGGTTTAACAAATTTAGTCCAATAGCCCAACATGAAAATCTCATCATGTATAGTCCCAGGGCTACGTCAAGAGAGGGAAAGCCATGCCAAGGCCGCCACAAGGACAGGCAATAGAGAAATAATTTATAGGCATATGAGACTTTGGCTTCTGCATTCAGCCACCAATGCAGAGAACAGATTTAAAATAATGTAGTCAACGTCACCTTTCCTTTCTGTTTATATAGACTTTTATCATTTTATGTAGGTCTTTCTTAATACATTCTAGTTTGCAGAGCATATCCAACAATCCAATTTAGACAGAATTATTTCTATGCATGCACCATCTCCTTACAAGACTAAGTTTCCCTAGGGCCACATCTTAGTTATCTCTTGTCACCTGTAACATTAACACACACACACACACACACACACACACACACATACATACACACACATCACTGGCAGAAAAGGGCCCCAACACTGAACTGGCTCTTTAAATTATGAAGCATGTTGGATCCACATCAAACTAATTCAGCTCTCAAGTCAAGCGCAGCACACATACTGGGGCTGCTGTTCTTCATCCCGACCTTGGCACTTTAAAGCAACCAAATCCAGGCAACCTGTCATTTCTTAAAGCAAGTGAGTGGGCAGAGACTTTCATCTCCACTGGAGGAAATTGAATCCTACATGTGACCAGCAGACTTGAAACTACTTGAGAAATGCTGACAAGATAAATTTAGACCTGCTGGAGTAAAAACTATCAATGTCCAGAGCTATTGTACTCATGGATTACAGGGGTTTTTTAAGCAATGGTGATGAAAGAACATGCAGAATGATGCCAAAGCAGGAAGGTACGACGGAGAAGAGGGGAAGTTTGCAGCTGCTTTTTAACTAAGTGACTTTTTTGAAAGATGGAGTATAAGCTCAACTTATAAAAGATATCAGGACAATACTACATTGGTTTTTATCAAACCATTACTCTTATTCTCAAGACTAAATCTCCAAGAGCAAATAACTACATCATTCGCCTGGAAATGAATTCTCATTAGAGGCTTCCAAACTCACTGATAGATAAAATAAACAAAGTTGGGGGTAGGAGTAAAACAGAAACTAAATTAGACAATCCTGCAAAAGTCTTTGCTGGCATGTAAAAGTAATTCCACTGGTTTTTATAAATGTTTGAGAAAACTAAACAGCAGAAAAGCCTATTAAGACTAAATGACAATAATTAAAATGTGAATATTTAGTATTAAGATAGCACACATTTTAAATATTGAATATTACAAAAAAAATGAACTTACTTGCTTTTCCCTTTGTAGACTGTAGCATAAGATCCTTCCCCTAGTTTTTCCAGTTTTTCATATGAGTCAGCTTTGCCAAACTTGGGACTTGTTGGCTAAAAATGAAACAGAGGGAAAGCAAAACAGACTGTATTAAATTAATTTACAATGAACGTCCTGATTTTGCTGAGAATTTTTGCTGAGATTCTATCATTTGTTAAATAACATTTTTCTGATATACTATTTTGTCAAACAACATAGTAAACACAGTACAGATCTTAAAACATGCCAACAAGCACATGTAGAATTAAATTTACCCATAATCTACTTAAAGAATCACACTGTAAATATTTTAGTATTTCATCTTCTGGTGCTTTTTTTTTTAACTGGTGATTGCTTTTCTTTAGAGATGATATTACACTATACATATTGTTTTATAAACTGCCCTTTTAAAAAAATAAATATATTAGAACATATTACTATATAACCTTACAAAGTAAGGGCATGTAAATTGCATCCAGCATACTACATAGGTTTAGCCATTCAATGATCTTAGAACAGCTTTTCCATTTTGTAAATTGTTGGGGAGAGATGAGCAGAAGAAATGTCATGGTTGAAATTATATAAAAATGATATGTGATTTTGTTGTTGCTTTGTATGTTCCTCCCCCACAGTATAACCCCTATTTTCACTGTATTTGATGTTGGTGCCCTGCATCTTGTATATACACTTCTCTAATTCTGAGAGGGAAAGGGAAAAAACAAAGTGCTTAAATAAGGCTACAGGTTGACCCACTATAACAATGAGATATTCAAAACACTATGTTGAAAACAAATTACAACTTCGGTGCATGGGGGGGAGGGCTTTAGTTGTGGAGGTGGGAGGAAAGGGATGGTAGGGGAAAACAAAGGAGGAGGCAACAATGTTCAATAGGAAATGTACTCATTACCTTGCTCATGTAACTGTAACCCCTCTGAATAGCATTTTTACAATACAAAAGTACAAAAAATAAATAAATTATGTAATTATGTGACTAAAAAAAAGCATAGGCTCAATGTTTGAACAAAATTCTCCCAGAAAGTTTAATGAAGAGACTGCATCATTTTTTTAAATTAACAATGGCTATAAAATGTATTATTTGCAACACTGAAAGAAAAATTATTTTATATCAGTAACACCATATTCAGTCTCTCAAAGAAATATGGAAACAGTGAAATTGTATCACCCACAGGGGGAGAAAACCTAAACATAAAGGTTCATATTGTGTCAATATAAGACTCAGTTGGAGCAATGGAATTTTAGGAATGTAAGAACAGCAGGGAAAAAGAAACAATATCATGATGAGATTTCTTAATCAGAATAGATTGAAGATATTAATTAATTCCAAATGAACAAATTTTAGTATGCTTCTTAACTCCCAACACATGGTCACTAGGTTATGATAAAATGAGGTACACAAACCTCAAATAAACTGAGGAGAAAACGAATAGAGTACAAATTCAAAAAAGAAAGAAGATAAGGAGTGTGAGGTTAAGAGGTCTTAATAGCAGATCATGGCAGATAAAATATTATCAAGTAAAAAGAAAAGCAAATTCAACCTGTCAGTGATTATAAAGAGCATAAAGGAATCGCATTCACCTAGTAATAGAAAAGCTCTCATATTGAAAAAAACGAAAAATTGACAATGTGCTAATGACAACAGAAAAAACTAAAACAAAAATATAAACTTCAAATAAAGGAGTAAGAACATATAGTCAATGAATTTTAATGACCCATTCCAGTAGTGTTGATGGGAGACAAGTCAGAATGCACAAATCAAGACATAGATTAATTTAGTAACATCAATATTAAAATAGAGAATTTTAATAATAAGCTAGTTAAAGTCTAATAATTAGCTTTGAAATATATGAAACAACTGTAGGTAGCAATAAAATGAGAAACTATCCACCAATCCACAGGAAAAACTGAATACAGAAAGACTGCTCAGACACCTGCAGGGCAAGCAGATACCAATAATTTGGGAATCTATATGTTTGCATTTTAATTATATTTTAATCTAATATAAATATTAATGTATACTTATATGATCAAGGATATCTAATATTAATTTTTAATTAACCATACATAAGACCACAAAATTTATCAAAAAATTGAAAATTACTTTATCTGAGTAAGACACGGTAAGATTAGACATTAAAACTACACACAATAAATACATACTGCCTTTGGTATTCTGGCTACATGACTATAATTCATCTTATCATGATACAATAGGAAAAAAATTGGGTGGCAGTCAATATGTTCATGTTGCATATTTTATAATGCCAAATAAAATTTTGAAATCATAAAAAGGAAAACAAAAGTTAAGTCTCATAAATTAGAAAGAAAATAAAAATTGAAAATGCTTAATTAAACATGTGGCAATTAGGACATGATGTTTTAAGACCCGCCAAATCAACATATGAAGGATAGTATAAATATGTATGTCTAGGCCATAAAAAAGTAACATGATTTAGACTTTTAAATACAATTAGAAAAGCGTAGCAGGTAGGCATTAATACAAAGAATGAAAAATATTCACAAAATATGAAGCAAAAATGCAACAGGAATTTCTACTAAGAGGAACTTCTACTAATATGTAAATACTAATTACTAAATTATACAAATACTTGAATTAAATCAAATACTACCAAATTCATATTCTAAGACTAGCAACCCCTTCCTACAGCATGAACATATAGCTAACAAATTTAACTTCATCCTAAATTTTATGCTAACTTTTTATTTTACTTATTTTTTTTTATATTAGTGAGGGGCAATACTCAGGCTTGAACTCTGGGCCTAGGAGTTGTCCCTGAAGTTTTCTTGTGGTTGTTTTGTTTTGATTTTTTCCTTGCTCAATGCTAGTGCTCTACCACTTGAATCACAGTTCTACTTATGGATATTTGGTTGTTAATTGGAGAAAAAAGTCTCAGAGACCCATTCCAGAACTAGCTTCAAATCTTGATCCTTAGATCTCAGCCTTTCAAGTGGATTATAAATGTGAGCCACTGGTACCTAGCTTGTTGCTAATTTTTAATGAAATACAAAACAAAAACAAAACTCTTGCCTTTTAAAATCACTTGATCCTGTAACTACAATCCTCTGTATCGTATTTTTACAATAAAAACGTACAAAAGATAAATAAATAAAATCACAATTTCTAGGGCTGGGAAGGTGGCTCAGTGGTAGAGCGCTTGCCTTGCATGCCTGAGGCCCTGGGTTCGATTCCTCAGCACCACATAAGCAAAAAGAAAAAATACCGGAAGTGGCGCTGTGGCTCAAGTGGTAGAGTGCTAGCCTTGAGCTGAAGAGCTGAGGGACAGCGCCCAGGCCCAGGGTTCAGGCTCCACGACGGGACCCAAAAAAAAAATCACAATTTCTAGAGCTCTGTAACACTTTAAAGATCATCCACTCTAATATAAATGTATAAACAGGATCTCCATCAGAAAGACCAATTAGTCAAAGACCATACATTGACTTTCAGTTAAATTTTTCCTTGAAGCAAAATCCATATATATTTAATCCACTAGTCATGCAGAATGAGACAAAAAAACAGTAGAAAAACATAAAAACATTAACAATATTTTAAGAAAATATCACACACACACACACACACGTATTAGCTAAATGTGCCAAAATGCTATGTATTGAGAAGCTTTCACCACAACAAATCAATAATTTTCTCATAGTTCTGGAAGCTACAAGTCCAAGGTCAAGAAATAAATGGTTTTGGTTTCTCCTGAACCCTTTCTCTTGTATCTTTGCTCAGCAACCTTCTCTCTGTATCCTCACAGGGTCTCTCCTCAAAGTATCTGTATCCCTCTTGTCCTTCTTTTTACAGGTAAATCCGTTATATTGGATTAAGGGCCTATCCCAATGACCTCAATTAACTTAATCATCTCTTTTAAAAGAGCTTCTCTCCAACTATGGATACATTTCTTAAGTGTTGGTGTTCGGAATTTCAACATAGGAATTTGGGAAATACCTAAGTTAGCCTATAAAAGGCAGATGGAGCAATTTCAACTTTTTGTATAGAAAGTACGGGAGGGAAGAAAGGTTGAGACATTATGAGGTTTTTTTTCTAGGAATTTAATGAGTTTCCATGTAATAACTTAATTCTCTGAGTTCTAAGCATTATATTTATTTAGGTCCACTTATTTTCTTCTACTTCAAGAAACTCCAATGGCCCAAACCATATATTAAGTTGAATCAAGTAAAACTTAATGGAAAATTACACTCAGCATTGCCTGACTAGTACTGTGTGGGTTATGTTCTCATGCATTTTTCATCTCCAGGAAACAGCTTGCGAATGTCACACTTTACCATCACCCTCCTGAGCCCAAGTTGTAAATGGAAATTTTAAAAACTAAATTAAACTTCAGTATAAAATGATCTTCAATGGGGAAAATATTATGTTCACAGTTCCACTCTAAATTATTTAAAATCAGAATGAGAGGTCTGTGTGTTTGGTTTTGTGCTCCTTTAAGAATGAATCCAATTTAAGGTTTTTTTTTTTAAAGTAGCTGTAGAAAATCACCTCTTAATTTCTATCAGGAGATAAGCTGCTAACACATATTTAGAGAAAGTACAAGACATCAACCTGCAAAATCGGCAAGAGAATAGAGGCCAATATATTCTTTTCTAGAAAAGTAAAAATAATTTCCTAAAAATTATGTGCTGTATATTTCACAATCTGCCATATGCCATATATGTATTTGTGTCTGTGTGTGTGTGTGTGTGTGTGTGTGTGTGTGTGTATTTACCATGAGACATATATCAAAAAGTGAATTGGGAATGTTAAAAACAAGGAGAATTTCATTCTTATAAAAGCAATCTCCCATTTATGTGTAAGAAAAGACACCAATGGCACACAATAGTCTATTTATCTACTAAATAGATTTAAATGCATTAACTGCCATGGTTAAAGGGTATTCTATTAACATTGCAATAGCAGAAAATTAATATTATGTCACATTTGGTGGTAAAACACAGATATTTGCCCTATGAAATGAATATGTAGACACTATAGAAATAAACTGTAATTTACAGATCAATCATGCCAGCTTCAAAGGAA